TAACGGGTGGCCATTCGAGAGTAACATAACATTCGATCTCACCTTAGGTCTTAAAATCGTGACTGGCAAGGTTGACAAGATCTGAATCCTGTATCGATACCGCAATCCGCGTTACGCGAATTGGTGGATGAGATGTTGTTTTCCACTTAGTCATTAGTCGCCTTTTACGACACCCTGACAACAATAAAGGGTCGGTTCTATTCTCATCCGAAACCGCACGGAGATCCTAGATGTTGATATCGGATCTGGTTTGTTATCCTTAGTCGCCTTTTACGACACCCACGGAACGAAATGGGTCTGTTCTATTCTTTAAAGCCGGAGACAGCACGGCTCCTAACACTTTGCCTATAGAAATTATGAGCGTTATGTAAGGTAAGTTATCCACGATATATGAAATAAACGAGAATTCATAAAAACTACCGTACTAATGGAAGCGATAACAGATAACTTTTTAAGTATGCTATTTGTTCACGGTAAGGATTACTTCGAAAAAAAATTTTTGAACGAGGCCGTTTGAATCTATTATAATAGTATACTGTTGTACAAGACATCCAGTAAGCGAGTGTCTGTGCTACATCCGAATATTAGTTGGGATCTAGTATGTTTAGTAAATGATAAATTTCTTGAAATAGTAATTGAAGATTTCTGTAGATTTGTTCTATTCGCTGACAGACAGAACACAGACAGACATGTACTGCAGGGTTTAATTTCAAACAGTCTGTGTACGATGTTCAACTACACTCATATTTTGAGTGAATAAAATTATGGTAAAGTATAAATAAATAGGATTTTTGTCAGGTAGATGTAAACGTTTGTAACGGGAAGTGAAGTAAGGCCAAGAGAAAACTCTTCTTCAAGCTTCTTTCCATCCTTCCAAGCTCCTTTCAATCTTTCCGTTGTTAATCTGGAACAAAGTATTTGGTTTCAATAAATCAGTTATTTTTATTGCTCTCTTAGTCCGACGAGGTCGTTGATTCGTTACAGAGCGTTGAAATCGATTTTTTGCCTTTTTAGACAGACGAGCATATGGTCCATTTGATGGTAAGTAGTCACTGTCGTTCATGCACATCAACAATGCCAAGGCCCCAGCCAAGCCCCTGCCTACTAAAATTGTTAAATATCTATTCACAAGTTCTTGTATATACTTACACGTTTATTTAATTAATCAATTTTGTTCCAACAGTGAGTACTCGTGATCATTCATTTCTTTTGATTAATATTGTTGCTGATCTTGATTATTTATATAAATATTTCAGGTATTCACTTATACCCATAATCTTGAAATAGCTAATATCTCTTTTGAAGCCACGCTGGAATTTAAAGTGATGAGTGGAGCGAAGTGCAGTCATGTTGAATGTCCTCAAATTCAGTTACCTGTGACACAATAAAACATCACTATAAGTTTAAAATTCCAATAATTGACTTGAAATAAATGCATTTACTACACTTCTTTATTTCTAAAATCAGTGTTCAAAGGGATAACCCTCTTATAATCTACTCCTTGCTACACCCTATCCCTCAGCACACCCCACCCCTCGCTACAAGGGTGAGGTCTACTGCGATCGATCAATACTTCGGGCGAGGCATCTGGATTCTGCGCAATATGTAGGTTTCAGGAAACTAGGCGCCATTTTGTAGATGCTGCATCAGAGAACTAGACGCCATTTTGTGGATTGCGCAGAATGTCTGGATTTAAAAAAGTAGACGCCATTTTGTAGCATATGCTTCAGATAACTAGACGCCATTTTGTTGATTCTGCGCAATCCGTATGCCTCAGAGAACCGGACGCCATTTTGTGGATTCTGCATCCGAGAACGAGACGCCATTTTGTAGATTCTGCGCAATCCGAAGTTCACATAGAATCAGACGCCATTTTGTAGATTCTGCGCAATCCTAAGTCGACAGAGAACCAGACGTCATTTTGTAGATTCTGCGCAATCCGAAGTCGACAGAGAACCAGACGCCATTTTGTAGAATATGCTTCAGATAACTAGACGCCATTTTGTTAATTTTGCGCAATCCGTATGTCACAGAGAACCAGACGCCATTTTGTGGATTTTGCATCAGAGAACGAGACGCTATTTCATTCTGCATCAGAGAACTAAACGCCATTTTGTTATTTCAGCAGAATGTGTAGGTTTCAGAGAATTAGAAGCTATTATAATATTAACAACGGGCAATACCCAGAAAGTATTGATAGTTCGAAAAATAGAGATTTTGAAATAAGCTAGGAATCTCGTACCTCTTTTCGAACACAATAGTACGGATAAATTTGAATGTTGAATAACCACTGCTTAACATGAACGTCTCCCATGCGGTACACCTACAAAATCACATTTGCAGTGGGAGGTCCCTTTAATGCAGTAGAGTATCGAGCAGGGAAAGTTGACGGGACATTCTGAGTAGCATTTTATCTGCACCCTTGATTTCGATCACGACCACACTGTCAAGAGTATCACGGCTAAGAAGAAGACGAACCAAAAAAACATAACATTTATAAACTGAACGAAATATGCAATTACAAAAAATTAATAATCTAGACAATAAAAGGGAAAAACTACTTACAGTAACGATGACGACGTGCGTATTTGATGTTAATATTAATTATATTATGGAATAATCTTAAACAATCTGAAAAATTTTTCACTTTATGAGACTATATGTTAACACGTCTGCACAGCTTCAGAGCTCGAGTGAGAATAATGGACCAGAGAAGCCCTCGTCACTTTATAAAGCACGGTGCGCAGTGTGAGTTCGCGTCTCCGCACTGCGGCATTTGTATTGATTAAACTGCGTCTGGCAGAGAGCGATGCGAGGGGGACTTGGCTGGATCTTGATACTATGCAAAAATGAACTCTATTTTACAATTATTTTGTGATATTTATTTTGTCCGTTATGCATTGAATAGATTCAAAGCTTTATGAATATGAAATGTAATTAATATGAAGTACGGAATCATGCATAAACCTAACATATTTGTATTACGCGAGCAATTCTCTTGTATTTGTATTAATTTCTTGTATTTCGGAAATTGGACTCAAGATATGGTACCAAACTTGTGTTGTAAAGATTGCTTTTTAAAAAATTTACAATAGGGCATCTTCCTCTTGAAAATTTATTATTATATACTAACATCTTTTTTTTTTTGAAATTCGTAATTTTCTATAACCAAAATCGGAATTGCATAACAGCTGGAGGGCCGTGAACGCCTACATTGGCCAATAAAAATATATAAAGAATGTATTACTGTATTAAAAAAAAATGATATCATAATTTTACATGTCATACACAGGGTTTTAAGTCTAAATATTAGATACATAGATATTAATATATATAACATTTTAAATTTAAAGATGCTTCAATTTAGGTCATGAATCGATAGATCCGAGCGAAGCTCCGTCTCCCAGGTACTGTGTGTTTAGTGCGAGTTTTTTAACGTTCTCGATAGCGTAAAAGTTAACTCAAATTGGAAACAGGAAATTGCAGTTGGTACAGCGCCTCTAGCGGCAAACGTAAACAAACTTTATTCGTAACGTTACTTATAGTAATATAAAAGTCATTATTTTGTGTTTGATTGAAAAATAAAAAATATAAATAGAATCAAATTATTTAATACCAAAATAAATATTTCCGTTCATTCCAATAGATAAAGGAATAATTCGTATTTTTTTCTATATTATCTATGCATTGTATTAAACAGATAACGTAAAGACAAAGTATATCTTTCTAGTACCGGTAAAATGGGGCGATTAGGGACAAATTCCAACTTTATGACCAATTTTAAGGTAGTTGTTGATGTATATAATGCTATATCAGGATCAAAATGATTGAGTCTTGGGGGCATCTTTGTTGTCCAATTTAAAGCTATGCAACTAGCATTCCAGTTTAAGCAAAAAAAGCAAAAAGAGGTGTAATCCCTATTTACCCGGAAATTGCGGTTAATTGGGACGAAATGCGAAATTTGCTAGGGTGGGCACTACTTGGTTTTAATTTATTTAGTTTCACCAACAAAGTGATCATCAATAAAAAACATTGAAAAACTGACACTCTGAACAAATATTAAATATTTTATTATGTATTACTTAGACATTTTTGTCCACCTTGAGATTTAATTGTTCTTATTACATGTCTGTGCAAAATTGACTTACTTATATTAAATTGCTTAACTATTTCAACTAAAGACTTATTCCCAATTAGGCAATTTCCCAATTGCTGTTTTTAATATTAAGGGATAATATCTCGTATAAGGCATTGCACTCTTTGATACGTACACGCGAGGCATATCTAAAAATAGAAAACAATACGTAACTGATAATATAAATATTTACCAAACAATAAAATAACACATTGATAATTTTGAATAAAAGTTCTAGACAAAAACATCATGAATAAACCAGATTTTTACCAACAAATTTAAAGAATATTTTTATAACTACATAGACAACCCTAGAAACCTGTACCTATTTATACTTAGGTCGTTTCCATTTCACGTATTCTCATACCAATTGACCCCTTTTTCGTTGTTATTTGTACCTAAGACGTCCCCAATATCCCCAAAAACAACAGATGTTACATGTATTTTTATTTTATCAAATACATTAAAACCAATAACAACTGAGACTTACCTTTAATATACATGATGATTCAAACACTAAATAACGTTTATAAATCACAGTCGTCTTCTATTATTATCAAATAAATAAAAGAGAGCAAAGTTTCTAGCACTAAAATAATTACCACCACAGAAAGTTAATTTGAAACGCGATTTTTTATAAGTTAGCAGCTATTATCATGCATATTCAGAGTTGTTTTGTAAACTTTCAACATTCTACTATTAAACTACTAAAAATGGAAGATTTTGCAACGAATTTATAACTAAAATTGAATGTCGAAAGATTTTCCCGGTTTTTTCCCGATTCGCCTCTCAATCCCTAATCGCCCCATTTTACGGTACCGAACGAACTTGGAATGAGTTCGTACACTATTAAGTTGTATTATCTATGCCGTACACTATGACCCGGCTATCCGAGACTTTTTGGCGCGAACGCGAGGAGAGAAGTTGTGTGATTTGTTTTATTTTGTCTATTCAGTGTTTCTTCAGGTTTAAATGTGTAATTAAGGTTTAAAGACTTGTAAATTATTCCAAAATCGATTTCGGGATCTAGCTCCGTAACACTGCATTTAGTACACTCACCAAATTTAAAATCGATATTGCAGTTGAAAATAAGTTAAAATCGACTATCAACTTTTTACTTATAATCATAAATCCATCTATTAAAAACACGATAATAAATTGTTCAGTTTGACTGCTATGACTGGTGGTAGGACCTCTTGTGAGTCCGCACGGGTAGGTACCACCGCCCCGCCTATTTCTGCCGTGAAGCAATGCGTTTCGGTTTGAAGGGTGGGGCAGCCGTTGTAACTATACTGAGATCTTAGAACTTATATCTCAAGGTGTGTGGCGCATTTACGCTGTAGATGTCTATGGGCTCCAGTAACCACTTAACACCAGGTGGGCTGTGAGCTCGTCCACACATCTAAGCAATAAAAAAAAAAAAAAAAAAATGAATAGTGGTAAAGTGATAATAAGCGTACGTAGTTTTTTGTTTTCTAAAGCTCTCTGGAACTCTCCATTAGCCAGTTAACACACAGAGATCCACCAAAAAGACATGGTCTAAACTCTTATTTTTCTTACTCTTATTCCATCACGTAGGTTCGGCACAGCATGTCCTCTTTTTCCATAAGCAGATAGTACAGACATGACATATGACAATATCATGCCTGTGAATACACCCATCTCTCGAATATCCTCTTTTAGATAGAACGTTCAAGTATGTTTTCTTTTTGTCAAATGCTCCAAAATTATTCGATTTAAAAAAATACAGAAATGTAGTTAGAGCATTTGGCATGAAATGTGAATGAAAAGATATAATTTTAATACACCAAAAATTTGTTGTTTAACATGTTCATGCAAACAATGTCATTCTCTTTTACGTTCAGTGTTATTTCCTCGGCATCGTTCTTTTCATTCAATTATGATTTAGGGTAACGCAAGCTTACTGTTCTTGAAAAACCGTCATTAATGTTACTCCTACAAGAATCCAAAATTTAGGGTATTATAGTATTTTTAGGTTTAAGATTTTTTTGTTGCTTAGGTGGGGATGAGCTTTTGGTCCACCTGATGCTAAGTGGTTACCGGAGCCCATAGACATCTTCAACGAAAATGCTGCCACCTACCTTGAGATATAAGTTCTAAGGTCTCAATTTTTACAGTACAACGGCTGTCCCACCCTTAAACCGATATGCATTACTGCTTCAAGGCAGGGGCAATTTATAATTTTTGCTGGTTTGATTTTTATTACACGATTTTATTCCTTCACCGTGGAAGTCAATCGTGAACATTCGTTAAGTACGTATTTCATTAGAAAAATTGATACCCGCATGCGGGATTCGAACACCGGTGCCTCGAAAGATACAAATGCACTGGACGTAAATTAATTAATTAATGAATTCCTTTAAGCCACGACGACTTTATATTGTTAATCCATAAAGTGGTTTCAGAACTACTAGTCTTTATAGGGATAGACAGGACAGATATAATCCGAAACGGTTTTAATTTATTTTACGGCTGTTGTAGACGGAGGAACCTACTACTTATCCAAAGGCGAGTGAAAACAACCACCCTTGGATATCCCTGGACACAATAGTATTTCCAAGTAAGTGTATAACTCTTCTAAATCAATAGACATGCTTATCTCAATTAAAGTTTTCAAAATAGATTTTGTCTGTATTTATCTGTATTTTATTGTAATGTAGAAGTCAATTCTAGTATCGGACATGTCCCCATATGGAGGGAATGATTGCCACAATGACCACGCTTGGGATGCTGATTGGTGATCGCAAAGACCTGTTTTAATATTCGGAGAACGCCGCCGCCTATTCTTTGGAGAGTCCCTTAGTCGAAGTAACTCTTATGGGAGCAGATGGGCACGTGTTATTGGTTCTCAAGACTAACACCACACAAGGATTGCGAGGTTGAAGTGGCAGTGGTCAGGGCATATTGATCGTTTCACAGATGCTACTGGGGCCTACAAGTTCTCTATTGGCGACCGCGTACTGGAAAACGTAGCACAAGCCTGCCGCACAGCCCGCTGAGTTTCTCGTCGGATCTTTTCAGCAGGTCGCGATTCCGATCCGGTAGTAGATACATCCGCGAAGCAGCTGCTCTCGAGTTGTTAGGTCTCCTTCGGAGGCGCTCGGGCAGATGTTAGCTAATCCCACCCGCCTCCTGGCTGAGCCTTTGCTCGCCCACCTGTCCTGGTGAAACTGGAAAGGCCCCAGGGCCACGAGTAATCCTTCAATCATGAAAAAAGGCCTACCCCCTCCCACAATTTGGGTTCATGACCTGCCGAATGTTGCAGGAATCTCCTGAATGCAGGCAGCGCACGACCGGTCGTGGCGGCAAGCTTTGGAGAGTCTAAGCAGCTTGAGGCCAGCAGTGGACATCTGTTGGCTGAAATATAGATATAACAATTTTTTGTTATAACCTCATTCAGAAGGTTCACGCAGAACAATTAATACCAGGAAATTTTTGGGGATAACCGTAAAGGATTACCAGTTTCTATAATAAAACCCATCAACCACTACACATCATTTTTATTAGTATTAGATTAAAACACACGCGCACATCGAATTCAATTCAAGATAACTTGAATAGATTTGAGAATGTTTCACTGAATATATTAATTCCTAATTCTATGAAATACTACTTCAATACCAAGATTAAATACGTTCGATTAAATTTATAAGCGGTAATATTCATGAATACTTAGCAACTATTGAGTATTTGAAACGCACACTTTTCTAATATATCTGTGCCTATAATTGAAATCCTTAATACACCTTGATCGATTAAATTACTTTTGCATGTCGTTACGAGATTAAATGCAGAAGAAAATGTTAATTTTAAATAGAGGGAAACAAACAAAAAACATAGACAATATTGTGTGTAAACAGTTTGTAACATGGTCGCGATCCAGATGTTGCCAATGTTGGAATTACATAATCTTGTCGGCTTATATCTGTCTAGCATCTGTGCTCGTACCAACACGCGACCACGTCTCCGCCAGAGCCTCGTTCGTTGATCGGCAGGGTGCGCCGCGAGCAGGAGAGGTTGACTTTGACTCAGAAGATCTAGGTAGAGCCACTTACACCCCTAACTAAAGGAGCTTAAAATACAAACACGAAGTAACATTTGTAATGTAGAAAGTCCAAATCAAACGACAACGCTTGAGAAAAAAAAAATTAAGTCGGATACAGACCGAAGGAAAGAGCGTTGTAAATTTAAAATAGTATGAATAATATCAAGAAGAACACAGTAACATCAAAGCTAACGTAATGTTTTCATTTGTAACATCAACACCATTAAAATTACGTAAACATTAACAATGTCACGCCGTGAGTACATTTCGCGTTCTCCTTGAATTGTACGAATAGTGATTCAGATACTCGTAGAGGCTAAAACGAAATCAAACTTCACTAAAATTATATAACGCGCGCGTCATATAACTAAACAACTAAAATCGGAAATTTGCAAGGAAAATAATTTTGTTAAACTATTTGAAACCGACAACAATATTCTTTCACAAATAATACATAGTAACAATCTACATACATTGACCTCATACTAAACACGGGCAGATTTTCGTTCTTGGTACAACATCTGAGATTTGTTACATTGTGAATGGTTCTCGGAGAATGCTTCTTCATAGTGCCCGTGAAAAAAATACCAATGTGCGTCATTCCATTGCGTCTGCAACCACGTCTACAATTCAATCGTCTCAAGGCTAAGATACAAAGAATTATGACCTAGGCTCTTGTACGTCCAGTGAGACATACAATAATTATAGTTTTCAAGTCATTAACTGTATATTGTGCTTAGGTTGTGGATTTTAGGATCGAATCTGGCTTAAATTCCTCAGTCGCTTTTTACGACGCCCGCGGAATGAGTTGGGGCTGTTTTATTCTTTGTAGCCGGACACAGCGCAGCACTCAATTATTTGCATTATTTCCATCCAGTTTTCCACTCAGTTTCGTCCAAAGACGTCCAGGTACACGCTCCTTTACATATTACTGTTAAGAAAGCGCGTCCAATGGTATCTTATTTGCTTTACCATTACTGCACCCATGAAAGTAATTCAATTTTAAGCCAAAACTGGCACAGCACTATAAAGTTTCAATTTCATAATACTAGAAAACAGTAAGGGTAAATAAAAAAATCGTAGTTCGCTTCAGTGTTTTGTTGGCATTTTCTATTCAGTTGCTCTCCCAATGCTCAAGAGGATAATCAGCCGGCATTGTATTCACATTATGCGACACCTGAAAATTACAAAAAACTTATATTAATTTTGTGTGTTTGTTATCATCTCACCAACGCTACTTTCTAATTTAAGTGCGGCAGGTTCATCGTAACTGTTATTGACTTTAACTCTGAAAATTAACTTAAATTAGTCCTGTTATTGACTATTAGCTTTCCATCTCCTTTCAAAACGAATACCTAAAAAACACATAAAAAACAACTAAATAACTGAAGGGAAAATATATAAAATAATTTATAAAAATTACCTTTGTGATTTTTCTTTCACGGTTCATCACGATTCATCTGTGAATCTGAAACATTGGTTCAGTTTAATAAAATATGACAGGAAAAGAACCTAGGTATTTAAACTTACAATTTGTCATTCGGTTCGTAGTGCTTATGAGCTACGGTAATCATTTTAAGCCCGATGGGCCGTGAGCATCGTCTGCTTATTCCGTAGGATAAAATAAATAGTAGGTACTCTTTTTAAAATTATTACTTACTTTACGACATTGGTTTGTGCGCTTTTAAATACATTTAATGAGGTCATCATCTTCAAGACACGAGGCTGTAACAAGAGTTTAACAAAATCAATTCCATTTTTAAAACATTTCTATTTCGAATCTAAGTATGTGCACTCAAAACGAACATAGGTACCTTGTTTAACAAAGACTGAGAGTTTCATAAAGGCAGACTAATATATAAATAGAGTTTGTATCGTTTTGCAACTTCAAACTAATCAATGACTGCGAGAAGTAATGGTGACGTCGTCGGATGCTGCGCATGACTGAAAATATTCTAGAACTAGACTCTCGTGGCAATCTGGAAGCCATTTTGTTATGCACGGTACTGTTTACAGAGAACGCATGCGCGAACTCGATGCGAGTGCATAGTATGTGTATGTATTTTTTGCACTGCAGACATATTATTATTATCCGTATTTTGTAAGAACCGTAATCTGTAAGAAGTTTTAAGTATTTAGTCACGATGGTTTTTTTTTATTGCTTTCAATCTCAATCAGTTATTTGAGTTACAGCCGTAAAAGTCAGAACGCAACGAATTGTATGCTTGTGACGATTCACGAAGTAAAATGATTGTGAAGGATTGTAAATGCATTAATGTATTTTCCCTATAGACTCCAAAAGGGCCGGACAGATTTCGATGAAATATTCAAGGTGATTGTGTTTGGTAACGATCGGATCAAAGTCAAGCAATCAATATAGCAATAAAGATCCAACAATCAAAAGCATCTAAAGCGGGCCTGGTTTGGTTACTCCTGATATAATCATTGGATCAATAATTACGACGCACCGGCGTACCAAGTCTCGATATTTCGCAGAAACCTAGTTTAACTAGACCTCTAAATAGGAACTTATACTTGAACAAATATATTTATTAAAACACTGAAGTTAAATTATATATTTTTTTAAATAACGTAACTAATAATTGCAATAATGCACCAAATAACGGTGGCAACAATGACGGGTTTTGTAAAACAATACGGCAACCAAAACAAAAATAGAATTCCAAAATGGAACGTTTACCTTAAAGTAAAACAATACGGCAACCAAAACAAAAATAGAATTCCAAAATGGAACGTTTACCTTAAAGTAAAACAATACGGCAACCAAAACAAAAATAGAATTCCAAAATGGAACGCTTACCTTAAATCTTCATATTATATTCAGGCTGCAGTGGCGTCACGCTCTGCGTCCAGGATCGAAAAGGCTGAAACCATGATGCGCTTCTACTCATTTTAGATAAAATCAATATCAGAGGTGCGCGTCCCGAGCTGCGCATAGCAAACACTGTGGTGTATGAAGATTTACTTATCTGTATAACTCTTGATACCAGAACCATATGGTCGCGTCTGTTTTTTGTAAAAACCGCTTTTGTCCAAATCGGATGTCATGTTTCCTCAAGACTACAATAAATTAGCATTTAATCCACATTTAATTATTTAAAGTATATGATTTCTTTACATGTTACTAAATGTGGTCGCTAGATGTCCCTTATACGAATTCCATTTTAAGGAATTTAATTCGAAGCGCGCCAATCATAAATATCCGTTTTTTTAGAATCATTCTTGTTTTTTTATTGCAGTTGACCAATCTCATACGAATTCTTTAGTGGCCTTTTACTAATTCGACATTAACTTAGGAAATATCCCTGTCTGTTAACTGCACTCTAGTACTATTCTAAAATTTTTAAAGCTCAACTACTGAAATTATGTTATTATTATTATTATATTATAACACTAAATCAAAATCTTTGTTACTCAACCTAATCATTGGTAGCCCGAGGGACTATTCCAACTGCGCACAGTTTGGTAGGCTCAACCTGGGAGGACTCGCTAATACTATTCCTAGCAAGGGCAATGCTTCGTTGAATCTATCACTGCATCGGAATCGCGACACTCAGAGAAGATCCGGCAAGAAACTCAGTGGGTTGTGTCTATGGGCTAAGTTGCACCCCGAACGCTTAGTCGTATTCGACGAGAATAGTGGCCGGTGTTTGGTGTGTCTAAAAACACCGAGTGTATCGAGATGAACTCATAGGATGTTTTTAGGGCGACAGCGGCTTTGCGATGCCCCGCCGTCTTAGCCGGGCTTATACATATAACCATTAATTAGGCGGCCACGATATGGCCTATCGTTTTTTGTTAGATGGTTCGATAGATTATGGTGTTGCGCCGCTTTTTCGAATAAGCGTTCTGACGCTGTCTTCAGGTACTTATGTAATGTCAAGATCTCGACGTCAAGATCATCGTGAAGATCTACATTCTTCAAAGACCACGGTGCTCCAACGGGTAAAACATCTATATATATAAAATCCAGAATATTAGATAATATAGTAACAAAAGCTTGCATAATGTTATGAAAGCCATTCCGATATGGTGGTGCTAGATACAGCGAAACACTGCTCTGGCTTGGGCGGATCTTAGGAAAGTCTCTTCGGCTGAGACCCGTGAGCTCGTCTACCTGTTCAGTGAAGTTAGTATAACCAGGTATGAAGGCACGAATATCTAATGGAATAAAACACTGATAGATTAAATCATAATTTTATTTGATTATCAGATCAGATTTTGAAACGCAATCAGGTCACAAACGGATTTCGAGTAGATCTTCTAAAAACTTCTAATTCTACTAAGCATTATCCTTGCCCGTCACACATACCGAGATAAACATAAAACTACTACATCATTCGTATGTGTGATGGTTGTTAAATCTACATACATCAAATCGTATTACACTAAAGTGAAGTCAATCACTCTTACAACACACTTGGATATATACGACGATACAAAGAAAAGCAGACACGTAATTAATGTTGGTTCATCGACCGGAAATCGATGCCGTATCAATCTCGCTAACATGGGCACACTCTAATAGTACACGGGCGACGAACATACTCGCCACAATAACAGCAAATAGTCTACATGATCAATAATAATAATAACATGTCAAAATAACAAACGGCAAGTTTACTTACGAAATAAAAATGTACAATTCACAAACTAGATTCAACTGAATTCGAATAAGTAAAAAAAAAACAAATTGTATATAATATGTAAAAATGAATTAACATGTATTAAAAATATCAGATCGTTCGTACGCAACGTAACTTAGTTTAGTTTTTAAAATTTTTTAATGTAACTGAAATAATAAAAGAAACGATAAATCATCGTTATCTTTCAATAAACATACATACAGTCTAAAATAAAGTGAATACCTTAAAAAGATTTTGAAAATCCATTCTTGGTCACAGCGTAGCACCCAGCAACTTCATTTAGTCTGTACGCATGCCACTACTGCACTTGAATATTCTGCACATTGTTCTTGTATAAAAACAATGTACGTATTTATTAAATAATTTGAATCGTGCATAAGTACTCTGTGGACGCGTACAGACCGCGCAGCTCATGTATCACTTATCCCTAATGTTAATTTCCTTACAGATGGGTAAATTAGTAGCTACATCAGTGTGCTTAGTGCGATTTTTTTAACGTTATCGATAGCGTAAAAGTTAACTCGAATTTGCATGGAGTTGGAACGTTTGCTTACGTTTGCCGCTAGGGGCGCTGTTCTAACAAATTTTAGTTAACTTTTACGCTATCGAGAACGTTAAAAAACTCGCACTAAGCACACGGATTTCATCACGGCTTTTACCACATACAATCTGAATTGTACTTAAGAGAATACTATTTTAAGTCATATTTACCTCTGTAAGAAATTTAGCTTGCCACAACTCAACTGGCTCGCGATTCTCATACCTAATACGTAACCACAACCCTAAAAGGCATGTTTTACACAACGGTTTGCTCTTTTCGTGAACTACGTATACAGTGAATTATTTTTCTATAAACGCAATCGTGTAAAACATGCACTATCCCCTCTCATTCGTTAATATAATAGTGCAATTTAGACATAGCTTAAAGCTATTAGAGTCTTGTTTCTGCAGTCACGACATCACGGGTAAACGACCAGTAGCTTTCACAGAAAACAGTTCGTTAATTACTTCTGTGACGTAATAATTTTGAATCCGATGATTTTAGAGGGTTGATGTATGAGGTTCTGAATAATACTGCACTTATTACATTAACACATCTCTTGAAGATATGTACATAAATCTTCAAACTGATACTTGATGTGTATTCGCAATCGTCTCAACTATGGGGGCTTCGATTCGCGATGTTTTAACGCGGATTTCTTAACATTCAAATTGCTATGAAAAAACGTTTTAAGTCAATCGTTAATATTCTTTACTTCTTTACGACATTCACACTGGGTCTGCTTTTTATCTAATTATCAATGAGGAAACGTTAATTCTGAACATTCGTAAAGAAACATGACAGTATTATAATATCAAAAACAAAAATCACCATACATATTAAAATATTCCAATACGAAATAATAATACTGAAAATAATCTCATAAAACAATTATTGATAGAACAGATCTTAAAACAATGGACTTGTAATTAAACTAAACTGCTATAATTAAATGGAGAATTCCAGATGCCATTTATTTGTGTCTTCATTTCAAATTTACCAACAATACTTCAGTTTTAAACGTTTGCCTAACGAACGTTCTTCGTAAGTACATTTACTGGAATTCTCAATCCAGGTATAGCCCATATGAAAGCGAAGCCTTAGCAAGTAGAAGTGAGGGTGTAAGATGCGCGAGCCCCCCGCGAGCCCAAGTCCCTGCGAGGATTCCTAACAGACGACCGCCTCCGAGATAGGGTTCTCGGTGATGCGAATCACAGAGGAGTGGCGGCACGGACGACGCCGCTCTGCGTCCGACAGCCGACGGAATGCAACGATCTTAGTCGGCGAGAGAGGCGCCACTACAAGATAACAATGTACATTAAAATTAACGAACTTACACTGCGACTTACCATGCTTCATTCAACATAAACGTTTAGGCTCCTAGGTTGGAGTCGGCTTCAATTCAAATTATGAGACGATGTTGGTGTGTTCGACCCGTTTGAGAATCTTCCGGCAATTTAATTAATTAAATTTTATTAATCAATTTAATTAATTAAATTAATTTAAGGAAATTTAAAAAATTTTTTTTTTAATTAATTTAAGTACCAAGTTAAGGGAATTCGAACGAAATTTCACAATAATATTGATACATTATGTGTTAATCTTAGTTTAAAATAAGGCACTTAAATATATCTCCGAATAAAAGATCATTATTTTAATGAATTACGCTCACGTGGTTGAACTTTTATTGTAACAATTTTTAATTTACTTTGAACCCATATAACGTTTGGTCAAGAATTTAAATAGCTCTATACATTTGCAATGAGCTTATTCATAAAATTATGTAATTAAAGTTATGCTTAAGCTTGAATGCTTTTTTTTTGTTTCAGTTACGCCCGGCTCAGTACAGGTACAAAAAGCAAAAAGATAAGAAGAACACTCTGAAGCAATTCCATACCAGCGTATTTGTGGAAATGAGAATTCTTAATTAGAACAGAATCCTACAAGAATAAATGTTCAAATTTGTAATTTGTTGTAACAGTAATTGTAGATCTAATATATACGACTATTGCGAGTAACACAAACGATGGGTATCTGTTTAATAAATTAATTTAAAATTATAGTCGAAAGAAAAATAAAATAACACGAATCCGCATTAAAGTCATTTTAGTAAAAAAGAGGTGCCTTATTCCTTTTAGGTAAATAGAGTGGCAATTATTCGTCCTTAATATATTTCGATAATAAAATCGAAGTTTTAACGGCACTGGAATGATGACAATGAGAACAAGTCGCTTCGTTTCTCATTTCTTCAGTTTCCGTCAGCCATACACGTAAGTAATTTAAACTATTTATTTGGTTTCATATCGAGTTAATAACTTTTATTATATTATTTCCAACATTTCAAATACTTGGCACTTTTCGTGGGCACGAGCAACTAAGATGTGTATCGTTGGTCGAAAATTTAATATTTGTAGCTGTAAATTTGTAAGTGTAGTCTAATAATAAAAATCACATTATAGAATAAAAAATAATAAACAAGAGAATAAGCCGCTTATTAAATATTAAGCACGTTTTTATTTTTTAAATATCATTAACAATCGATACCTTTTTTTTTTAAATTAACACAGTAACTCGATTATTGACGAAACAAATATTAACATCACCCAGTGTGTGTACGGACCAAAATCGTTAATAAAATATATTGCGTATGTGATTTTTAGTATTTGTATGTGATGTTACACCTCGCGTTCATTGATTCTATGTTAAAAGAACTGACGCTTACGGTGACGATGTTACACGATTAAACTCTGTTGTCTCTGTCAAACAATTTATAATAAAAAAATGTTTAAAAAAACAAAATACTAGTCTAAATACTCGTACTGGGTGTTAGGAGACCCGCTTCCAAAAACGAAGACAGACGATAGTACTAATGACACCTTTCATGATGGGAGGGGAAAAAACCGATCGTGATTTAAAAAAAAAATCTTATTTTTAAAACATTTAATTAGCATGATTTACGCTCCATCGTGTTAGTATAGCTAAATGAAACGATAGTTTCATAAAAAAATACATTACAAAAAAAACCAGCAATGAAGCACAAAATCAAAAACAGCTGATGCTCGGATCAACGAACGCACGGGTGCGGCGCGGCGCGGCGTGGCGTAGACTCGCGCGATCAGACAAATACTTATTTACACAAAAACAACTCCATCATCAAAAGTATCATTAGTACTCGGAAGCAGTCTCCTAACACCCAGTATAATCAAAATGAAAGCGATATACTATCTAAGAGGCATCACATAACATAAAATCATTCAATAGCACAGTATAAAAGTACAAAATACTTAAAAAAAAATACTTACTTCGACGTATCAGTTGACATTGGCTATTCTACGCGACGATCGAAGGTGGTGGAGTAATACTACTACTGCGGGGTGAGTTAACTTTTTGCAGTGCTAAAACAGCTATAAGATGGAATGAAACAAAACAACTAAATGAAACATTCTAGATACTAGTAAACACAATGAGGAAGCGACTTCACTACCTAGTATTCGTGTACCTGGTATGTGAACCATATTAATTAGAAGTGCTATAAAAACGTTTTTTTTTTACTTATGAAACCAAAATAACAATAGATAAAACATAGCTTATTTTTATGTCCGCACTGGGATATTTTTATTTTTCCTGTATGATAAATTACACCAGTAACATATCCGTTTTTTTTTTCGTTCAATGGCACAGGTCTACATTTTTAGGAAACGTTACGATGGGGTTTTTTCAACATTGCTCGAAAACTATCAATCCAAACGTTGATAACGATAGTAATATTAAAGTTACAACCTTAATACGTATTCTGAGGTATCATATTATATCACAACCTTAAACAAGCGTCCCGATATTATGTCACAAAGCGACAGCGTCACTAAAAATTATTTATGGGTGCTAATACAACATGATTTAAAGAAGAAAAATAAATTTTAATAGTTATTCCCAAATTAATTAACGGAAAATTCTGTGGGATACTCATTTTCAAAGATGTCTCATGCCATGCTCATTGCCGTTAATTTATGCCTGATTATTGGTAATTGACACGCTCAACAAAACTGTTTCAGCTGTCTTTTATCAAAACTTGACATGAGATTGACTCGCTCCTCAAGGCTGCTGGCCGCATCATGCTATGTTGTTTTATAGCATTCGGTAAACCCAGAAAAAATTAAAATGAAAGCCGAAGTCGCCCCTCGTCATGTTAACTCTTTACTTAAAACGTGCATATAAAGCAGCTCTACAGACTAGAGATGGCATTCGTTTTTGTTTTGTTATTTTACCAAATATGAAAACACTGAAAAGATTACGAATTTTCGTTAACCGAATATAAAGTCAGCAGCAGCGTATCTTGATAAAATTAAAAGGATACCTTTATTTTTACATTAACTTTAATTCAAAATTTAAAATACTTCATATAGAACGTTTAACTTGCTTCGATTCTAAACATATTTGCCATCTCTACTTCAAACATATCGCCTTTGCTAGTGGTGTCGAAACATATGAATAAAAAAACGTTAAAATCAGCTTTGTTTTTTTAAAAACTGAAAATACTGTATCATATTTATACTCTATGTTTAGCAAACGATTTTGTCAATACACTATCTACATAAAACACGTCATTCAAATTTAATTTCGATCAAAGCGATCTTTTTTCTAATACATACCGCATGCCAAAGTTGTGCAACACTATCTCATTTGGGCGCTCAGTAAGCAAGTTAAATCAGAGATACGCGTTTTGAAATAAATCTTAAAGCTCGTTCCAATTAAGCTAGAAAACGAACGAAGCAGATACACCAAATTACTATAGTCAGTAATCTGATATTTCCATTCAAATAAATACAAAACAAGATAAAGTTATTCACATTATTAATGGAAAAAAGTACTTCTGTTAAGAGCACACGACACACTCGTCAATCATAATTTTTTGAAAAGAAACTTCTTTAGGCACTTTGAGGGTAAAATTTAATTTGCGACAGATTCGTTACGGCTAAAGAGAACAGATACAATTTAGTAAGAGCGAGAATGAGAAAATAGACAGAGCGTCTCGCGAACCGTGGAGAGGGGGAAAGGATAAAGCAAGCTAGGTCGTTTTTCTTATACACAGCATTTCCTATTATTACAAGAGAAATTTTATTTAAAGATGAAACGTGAAGAAAACCATAAAACTATACACCGCAAAAGAAGTTTCACTTCTTTCACGTCCATCAAGTTGCACACGCACATTTTTTTTTAAGATTTTTCATATTTCATTAATTATGTTAACTAGAATGTAACCAAGAAGAAAATGTTACGTTTTTTTTACTATAAAGTTTATATATCTCCACACATTATTGAAGTATGAACTCGTATATTAATTTTTATAATTTCCTAGCAAAGCGTGTCGTAAGCTCTTTTGAAAATGTATTTTTACTCAACATATTATGACACATATAATTACAAGTGGATGCATGTAACATAAACATTAATTGAAGATTTAAGTATAGGTAATTTTCGTTCTGTTAAAAAAGCGTTAGATTTAAAAGATAAGAATAAATTAAAAAACCTCAAACCTCGAGAAAAAAGCATCAAAAAGTTTGAAGTTAAAAATGTTTTTCGTTTTTATATTAATCTCATATTTAAATATACATCGTAATTAATAATACTTAATCTGTTGAGGTAAAGTAGTGGTAATATATTTTTTGTGATTGAAGCTTGTAAATTACAAATTCTTACCATAGCCCTCGCCCTGTAAGAAGAGGCGGAATGCCTCCGAAATCTTGCTTGGCTGCTCTTCAAGCACCATTGCGCAGTCGGAGATCTGTTTGCGAATATTATTACTTTTACTAGTGGTCCCTCTGTAGTTGAAATTCGACTATAATTAATTGAAATTATGCATAGCTTTGAACATTATTAAGGTTCTATTGTCAAATACTATCTATCATACTTCTTTAATCACAGATTTCGCCAAAACTACAATATAGACAAATATTAAAGATATTATATACAATATTAATCTATTTCAATTTGACCACAGACTTTAATGCAATGACAAAAGTTTGACAGTAAGCAAAGGGTATATTATATGTGTGCGTAATGTTGTTTTTATTGAATTAATGTATTATTAATACATAATAAATAAAATAAATAAAATATTAGCATTCTGCACTCCTTCTTTATATTCTCTATAAGTGTAGGAAATTTCATACTCCTCCAATTGCAATTTGTGTAAAAAGGGGTACAAAGTTTTTGCTTTACATATTAATTACTTTTATACCGATCATGAATGTTTTAGACGCATTTACTATTTCGAGGGGTGAAAAACTATTTGGTTTAAGCCGAATTTTTTCCAAGGGGAAAGCCATATTTCTAGTTTAAATTTTATAAAAAATATCATAACCAAAAAACTTCTTCAACAATTTGAATGGAGTACACTTAATTGAAGTTCCAGTACCAAATAAAACGGACCTTTAATTATTAAAATGCCAAATAGCCAAATCACTCATCGCGTTAATTTTTAAAGCTTTATGGTATTATTGCGCCATCTGATGGTCCTTATACGAACATGTAACTGGAGTGTTGTAGGGCTCTCGCCCAGACAACATTTCGCTAGATTTCAATTGATTATCAGCTCACTCAACAGATGGCGGACTCTGCAGTAGATTATAAATGCTATTTCGGTTTTAAGCTTTCAATTCTTCGAAATATTCGGAGAGCCCGCAAGAGGTAATTCTAAACCTAGATATTATTTAACCCTGGTTGCCAATTTAAATTTAAATATAAAATTAAAACGAAACAATTATTTCAGAGAATTTAACGTCGTAATTAAATATTAAAGATTTAGATATTACGACACGATCGAAAACTATACTTTTCGTGCAATTTATTGTATAGCCCTTTTTTTTATTGCTTTGATGGAAGGTCGAGCTCACAGCCCACCTGGTGTTAAGTGGTTACTGGAGCCCATAGACATCTACAACGTAAATGCGCCACACACCTTGAGATTGAGAAATAGGCAGGGTGGTGGTACCTTCCCGTGCGAACTTACAATAGGTCCTACCAATAGTAAAAAGCATACATATAAACTTACTTATACGGATATAGACGATGTCAATAAAAAATAAAAAACAGCTATTTGTTATCAGTAATGTGTTTTTTAACGGTGGTAGGACTTCTTTTGAGTTCGCGAGGGTAGGTAACCACCACCCTGCCTATTTCTGCCGTGAAGCAGTAATGCGTTTCGGTTCGAAGGGTGAGGCAGTCGTTGTAACTATACCTGAGACCTTAGAACTTATATCTCAAGGTGGGTGGCGCATTTACGTCGTAGATATCTATGGGCTCCAGTAACCACTTAACATCAGGTGGGCTGTGAGCTCGTCCGCCCATCTAAGCAATCAATAAACAAAAATCAGTAATTACCTTCATCCAAGTCGAATTGTTCGGGTTGAGACGTCCGTTGAAGGTCACCGTGTCGTCTACGTGAGGTGACAGAGCACCCGTGATGTTCAACACCGGCACCTTGATGGTGTCGGCGTTACGGCATATACCCAGGTCGGAGCGCCGCACGTACGCCTCAATGAACATCGACAGGTTGCTGGGGTTCACGTTACGTGTGAAATAGTTCTTGTACATCTGGGTCAGATCGTGGTTGCGGTCTTCGGGGAACTGTGGAAGATAATAATAACAATTTTGATTTCATTTATTTCAAAAAGTTAAAAAAAAAATTTTTTTGTTGCCTTTGTAGGCAGACGAGCTTACGACCCACCTGATGGTAAGTGGTTACCGTCGCCCATGGACTTCAGCAATGCCAGGAGCAGAGCCAAGCCGCTGCCTACCGCTTAATACTCTCCACAAGCCTCGTTTGAAATTTAAACGATAATTCGCAGTTGGGTACTTTCGCAATGGAATAAATCGAACGCAATTCATTCTTAGAATACGCTGTAAAAACCGAACTCATATCTCAAGGTGGATGGCGGTATTTACGTTGTGGATATCTATAGGCTATAACCACATAACACCGGGTGGTCCGTGAGTTCTTCCACCCATCTAAGCAATAAAACTGAGTATTACACCAGCGTACTGCTATTGCCTGCTGTTATTTTCTTATAATATTTTAAGTTCGCACAAGTAGAACTCCTGTTTATTTCAGCGGAGAAGCAGCAATGCGTTCCAGTTTGAATGATAGAACAGCCGTCATACAGTACGTTTGAGACTATGACCTCATGTCTCAAGATGGGAGGCGGTGATCACGTTGTTGTCTATGGGCGCCGTCGACCACTATGCACCAGATATCTACGTTACTACTACGATAAAACATATCTGTATATTGTATATGTACATAATATGTAGACCATCGAATTATTGATTTCCTCATTTCCGTATGTCTTTCTTAATTTATCAGGAACGTGTTGTATTTATTTTCAAAATAGTTTAATATAGATTCAAAATTTGCATGATATACGGATGCTAAATCATGTTAAATTTGTATTAATCACTATTACTCGTAGAAGTTCAAAGAAGACGGACCGGGTACAAAACAATTGCCAATTCTTTATAAGCCTTGTGCGAAGGGGCAGTGAATTGATTTTGCCTCGATATCGGCATACCGTGTTTATTCGTTTTCATGCGTATAAAGCAAACATTTCCTCGTATAAATACGTCGTAAAGAACCGGTCATGGTCGCGTTGTTCGCTCCACGTGGGACCTTGAAATTTCGCACTGAACAGTCGCACAGCAATGGGTAGTAAAATCCGCAGAGCTTCGGAAATATGAACGTACAATTAGGTTTTTGTGTCGTAAAATCGGAACAGAACCAAAGGGCGTATCGAATATTTTACTGCCCGACATACATACGTAACTTATTGGAATATTTCAACCGGGGCATAAGGCTACCTACCGGCGATACAATAAGGCTGCTGTACTTTTTCTTAACGTTTGTGGAGGATCTGATTATTTAAATTTAAAGAAAACAGCCAAGCCAATGCAGATGCCAATCAGCGATGTTTGTTGAGTACCTCTATTTCAAACCGATAATTTTAAAAACAATATTCATGGACATTTAAACCAGTATACTTTTAAATGATGATTATGCTGAATTGACTTATATTATTATAGTATTCGATCCAAAATCAGCCAAAACCAATTTACAGCGATAAAAAATGAATTTCTTGCTGTGTTCATGTTTTTAGGTCATACAGTATCGGAAACATTCCAAGAACTATAGGAACTTGGAAATTGAGGAAGCCATAGGTATGTATATTATAGGTTCGATTAATTATTAAAATTTAATGGGGATAGATGCGCAATGCTAATTAAAGTAATGTTCACTGATGTGTAAGTATTTTTGTATATTATTAGAAAATTCTAAAATAAATATGTTCTTACATTGAAAATACCAATGAGACCAAATCAAACGACTCATCAATACCCACCGATTGTTAGATATACCTGCATTTATTTATTTATTTTTGTGTTCTCGTTAATGTACTCGTTCATCGAATCAATATAGCCTTATTATAACTTTAATTAGTAATATGCAGTCAGGCGTCAAGGAGATTAGAGGAGTATTAAATCTGATATGTATTTAAAACATCGACCTCCTTACATTAAATCGTGTATCTTAAGAAACCATTTGTCAATTTGAGTTTATTATGGTAATGTTTAAAGTATAGTTGCATACGGAGTTCAAGAAGTAAAATGGAAAATCGTATTTTCCAACAATCCTAAGTGAGTCGACTATTATCAAAGCCGGCAATGTGACTTTTGGACAATTATTGGTAAATCAGAAAAACGAATTATTGACTTTGTATTCCATTGGCAGTCACAAAACTCTTCTGATCGACATCTTAGATAAATAACAGGTTAAGTATTAACCTTCATTTAATGCAGGTTTTGAACCGTATTCTTTGAAGGAGACGATTATATTCAAATCAATCTGTATTGACATATCAATAACATTTTTTTGTCCAAATGCACAGATTGCCACCTTTGATAATAGACGACTCAAGTGTCGAATGTAAGCTTAGCTGTCGTTTCAAGTACATACATTCAAAATTTAAATAAGATTCAATGTTCTTCTTACTTTCTTCGTTTATCGTAATTGTAGCGACTGGACTAATTTGAAATATCATTTCAGTATAATAATAAGCTATAATATAGAACAGTTCGTGAATAACAGTTTTATTTTATTTGATAAAACAATTATTTAAGATGGGATATTATTATAAAAAATACATATTCAATTATCTATATATTGTAAGACTGAAATATATTATTAGTAAAGATCTTCAAAGTATAGAAATAACTCCAAACCAAACTTCCGCGGTCAAGACTAAAAGTGATCATACAAAATGTTGCTGAGTATTATTTAAACACTAAGCTTGAATTTTACGAAATTTTATAAGGTTTCAACCAAAACTTATTTAATTTCTTCTTCTTACTGTTCTAAAAACAAAATACCCTATACGTTTTGTTATAATACGTTATAGTTGTTATAGTTACGAATCTTGGTGAGCCTAGTAAAATTCTAGAAACTCAACACTTTCATTAAGACTGCAAAATAGACTAATATACATTTTTTCGGTTCATTGAGTATATATAATATATCATATCAAACCAGCCTTTTCTGTGAGTTTCAGTGTAACTATGTGGGAAAAAATGTATTTAGGACAGTGTGTTTATTGTTTTAGGTGAAATTAAATTAGAATGAAATTAATACTGTTAGTTTTTACAAAAATATTTTAAATTACGTGTTCCGAAACGAAAATTCGCTTAGCATTGACACTATTATGTAAAACTGAAATAAACAAAGAACGTCAAAAATATGCATTACCTGTACAATATTAACAAATCACTAGTAGAATTATTTTATTATGATTCTGTTGCAAGTATTGTGATTTTGTTAAAACATGATCTAACTGAAAAAATTAAATGATTGATGGCACTTCTATGTTTATTATCGCCTATGTCGACTAGGTACTTACACGTCCGAAATGATGCCACAAAAGGTAGTCCAGCACGCCCTGGGTCATGCCACGGGAACGAAGGGACCGAGTGTTCATCTTCTGGTAAGCCCACTCGATCCATCCGGCCTGGTTCGATGTGCAGTTGATCAATGTCAGCGCATCTACCTGGAATCCATGAACATTTAATTTGTATCATCGTAAATTTTTACTGGTGGTAGGACCTCTTGTGAGTCCGCGCGGATAGGTACCACCACCCTGTCTATTTCTGCCGTGAAGCAGTAATGCGTTTCTGTTTGAAGGGCGAGGCAGCCGCTTTAAATATACTGAGACCTTAGAGTTGATATCTTAAGGTGGGTGGCGCATTAACGTCGTAGATGTCTATGAGCTCCAGTAAAATAAAGTGAGCTCGTCCACCCATATAAGCAATAAAAAAAAGCATACGCATACTAAATCTTTCGAGTACTCAAAAAGCAGTTTTCTTTACTATATTGAATTATTTTGAAGTTGAATTTCATTTAAATTATGCCAGATTGCGTCATCAGACCAAAAACTGCAATTAATTTTAGTTGTAGCTTTGTTTTTTTCTCTCTCTCTCTCTCTCTCTCTCTCTCTCTCTCTCTCTCTCATATCGTCACTATACTTAAGATAAGTCAAATTATATTAACAATAACCGATATATTAGGATTATGACAAGATAATAATACATCTATTAAATAAATTATAGGTTGGTAAATTGAGTTTTGAAACACTACAAACTACACAGAATAGAATAAGACTCCGGATACGATTAATAAACAAACAAACAAACCTAATAATAATAATAATAATTAAAATAAGGCTTTATAATACTTAGCTGAAGTCGACAATTTTGCTCGATGCTAAAATGTAATCGCACGAAACGCATCGCGTGGATCCCAGCTATTAATCTTACAAACCAAACTCAGCCTTGCTATTTCATTATAATTTCAGACATATACGTCCACTTCATCCATTATGATTGGCATACAATGCAAATGAGGGATCGAAAATAAGTAGGTAAAACTAGGTAGGTGGGTAGGTAGAAATTTAAAATTACAAATATACATTTCTATTTTAGTTATAAAGTATATTTATGAGGATGAAGGTAGGCCTTTATATTAGAATTAAAAATAGCAGCACCAATAACATTCCGAGTGACGATAAACCAAATAAGATATATTTAACTATATAGCTTGTAACAGTTTTTTTATTTTTCGATAATTTTTTTTTTATGGCTTAGATGGATGGACCAGCTCACAGCTCACCTGGTGTTAAGTGGTTACTGGAGCCCATAGACATCTACAACGTAAATGCGCCACCCACCTCGAGATACAAGTTCTAAGGTCTCAGTGTAGTTACAACGGCTACCCCACCCTTCGAACCGAAACGCATTACTGCTTCACGGCGGAAATAGGTGGGGTGGTGGTACCTACCCGTGCGGACACTCCCAAGAGGTCCTACCACCAGTGATTAATAATTAAATAATTAATTTTTCGACTGCAGACTAATAACAATAACGAGAATAAAAAAATCTTTTTTTTTTTTACCATATTCTTATTAGATAATAATAATAATAATTTAAGTAAAGCTACTAACTATTGTAACTATACTTGAGACCTTAGAACTTATATCTCAAGGTGGGTGGCACATTTACGTTGTGGATGTCTATGGGCTCCAGTAACCACTTAACACCAGGTGGGCTGTGAGCTCGTCCACCCACCTAAGCAATAAAAAATTTTTTAGTAAATCCGATGGTGACTCGTTCATTGATTAATTCAGTACCAGCCCCATTTACCTTCTTAGGGTGGATAAGAGCGAATCTAGCAAGCACGTTCGCTCCAGCGCCCACGCCGAATCCTATAAAGGTCTTGATGCCGAAGTGGCCCATGACGTAGTTCAGTTGATTCGCCAACTCGTCCATCGATGGATACATATAGCTGAAATGAATTAAATTCTGACTTATGTTCTATAATACATAGATCACGTTTAACGGTTTAGCGGTAGGCAGCGGCTTGGCTCCTGGCCCTGGCATTGCTGAAGTCCATGGGCGACGGTAGCCACTCACCATCAAGTGGACCGTATGCTCGTATGCCTACAAGGGCAATAAAAAAAATTACTGATCCGATAAATGCGACAGATAAAAAACGGGCTTTAGGTTAGTTCATCGCTTCACTGATCCTTGTGATTAGTGAGTAATATATATACTGGATCCGGGAACGGCTCTCGCTCTTTTTTTAGGAAAATATGAATTCGATTTCTGAGTCGTTCTTGTCTCGCACCTTTGTACCAGAAAGGTACACGTAACACAGAAAAAAGGACCTATTTTCGAGCCGACTGATGTAGAAAGTAATTCTTGTTATACGAATTTCAAATAGATTATATTAATGTCAAATTAAAATATTGTTAGCGCATGTATATAGAGCGTAGAGTGGACTTAAGACCTTACTGAAGCCAATAGAGACCAGATGTACTTAGATTGGATTATCACCCATGTGAAATTCTCAGACTAGCTATCCACTTAACCAATTAAATTGAGGTTGATTTTGAAGAATTCACTTGAAACTTACATTTTGCAGCACACTTTTGTTGGTGATTACATATTTAAAAATCATTATAATTCGACCAATAATTAATATTTGAAAAGTTTATGACTACGAACTGACAGCTCTGCGAAGTAACTGGTGGTAGGAGCTCTTGCATTTCGGTTTGAATGGTGGAGCAGCCGTTGTAACTTAGATCTCATATCTCAAAGTGGGTGGTGGCATTTACGTTGTAGATGTCTATGGGCTCCAGTAACCACTTAACATCAGGTGGGCTGTCAGCTCGTCCACCCATTAAAGCAATAATACAAAAAATAACACAGTATAACTTGACATATTTTGTATAACGCATGATGATTTTTTTGACTTAAATATACATATAACTCAAGGGCACGCGTATATCAAAAGAAACTATTATTGTAGCATTTCCTAAAAAAAAATTAGTGAACTTTTTTTTGTACAAATGATATGATTCTGCATGACACTATTTAACGAAAGTGATAAAAAACATATCAGATTATGTTTTACTAAAAACCAAGCCCGTAGCCGCTGCAAACATGCCGTTATGCCTTGATTTAATTCTCAGAGAAATTTCTTCTAAATTACAATATTATGTAACTCGTCGAACCAAAATTTACACTCAATGGCATCGGCCCGATTGGTTGAATATCAGAGTTCCATAGACATTACAATGTGAGTGCTGCCACCCACCACGAGATATTGGCTTGAAGTCTGAATCGTATTACGTAATGGTAGTCACACTCTAAACGGGAACGCACGAACAATTCGCGGCAGAACTCCCGACGTGCCATTACCAAAGGTAAATGCCGGTCGGGGATGGCAGTATCCTGGTATATCCTTAGAAAACTTTGCCGACCACTAGATTCCTTTAGACATTTTTAACGATACCCACGGGAAAAGATTTGTAGACGCTATTTTAGGCCACCACAAAACATATCCAACCCTACTATACAATCAAAACTTCGACCAAATATCTTCAGTTGAGTGGCGGTAATCGCGTACGACTGCTAATGCTAATAAAAAAAAATTGAACAGCTGTTTCTATAATAAAGGAGATTAACTATCGAACCGTACTTTAATTACGTTATCTCGTGTTCAGCTACGCGAAACATTATTTATTGAATAACGTAAAACAAAATCCTGCTCGTTTCGTCGAATGAATCCGTATATGAGTCGACTATTATCAAAGCCGGCAATGTGACTTTTGGACAATTATTGGTAAATCAGAAAAACGAATTATTGACTCTGTATTCCATTGGCAGTCACAAAACTCTTCTGAACGACATCTTAGATAAATAACAGGTTAAGTATTAACCTTTATTTAATGCAGGTTTTGAACCGTATTCTTTGAAGGAGACGATTATATTCAAATCAATCTGTATTGACATATCAATAACATTTTTTTGTCCAAATGCACAGATTGCCACCTTTGATAATAGACGACTCATATAGAGGGACGGAAAATTTTCCCATAATATGGCCAACCAAAATTCCAGTGAGTTATTCCAAAAGCCCGTGGGGTATAATATCGTGTGACCAGACGACGACGTTACCAGCCAACGCGCCGTCGTGTACTTGTAGTACAAGTCAGTAAAGTCTATATCGAGCGGCGGACTGTTACATAACACTGCGGTACGAGACCCGCCGCCGATACTATCCACTCTTATAAATAAAAAAGAAGGTTCGCGACTCGAGGATCAATGACCTTCTCACCTGATATTCAATATTCCAAGAACGTTCCACATTTCTTTGTACTGATTAACGAAAAAAAAAAACATTTTGTTTCCATTACAGTCTGAACAAGATAGGCACTGCGAGTATACAATAAAATAACTGATTAGGAAGACGGGAAATACTTAAAACGAACAAGTATTAAAACAAGTAATTGCGTTGATTATTAAAAGATAGAAACGAACAATTACTGTTTAAAATATTAAGATAAGATGAATTAAAAACTACATTATATCAATTAACATTATATCAATTAACATTATATTCTAGCTTCGGTGGAACATTTGAAATAAGATTATATCTTCTTGATCTTAGTATCGAATGGATATGAAAGAAAAAGCCACAATTAGCTCCCTATTACTCCCAAATATTATAACGCCGCATCTATTTTCTAATCTGTGGATTTACTATCTATGTATTTTTCTGTGTATTTTTTTTTCTAATAGTCTCAGACAGACAATCAGGCAACCCTCGCGATAAAGAGATTAGATTACCGCTGCCCATGGACATCTCATCGCAACTCTGCGTTACAAACTATTACTAGGCTGTCTGTTCCAAATACTCTACTTAAGCCATATACTTTTTTTGTTTTCTACGAACTTTCTGTTACCTCGTGTCAGGTTTGATGCAGTGTTGTTTGACATGCGCGTTTTGGGCGCCAAAATGTCGCGACGTTGCCCTATTATTGCAGTTTATTCACCTTCCCTCAAAACGGGAAAACGGAGTTAATTGTATTATCGTGATCCAGCTCGACTTGTGGATCGATTCGTGTTTCTATAACAATGTTAACAACTTTCGTACTGTCTGTTACCTGAGTGAATATTAATATTATTGTACATTGTTAGGCTTCACACTAATTATATTACAAAAAAAAAAAACATGATGTTTTCGTTTAAATTAACATATTATATATAAATGAGAAGGATGAAAACCATTATCTACACTAATATTATAAAGAGGAAAGATTTGTTTGTTTGTATTGAATAGGCTCCGAAACTATTTAAAAAATTTAAAAAACTCTTTCACTGCTTGGAAGCTGCACTATTCCCGAGTGACATAGGCTATATAACATATAACATATATATATACATATAACCTTTTTGAAAAAAAAAAAAAACTAGGGATCTTTACTAAAACTCCAATAATATAACCCGAGGTGTAAAAAAATTACCTAAAATATTCTTTACATCGCGTGCCCTGCGAAAACTATGGATGATAGAATAAAATAATGTACTACGGACTTTGTAGAACACATTATTATTTACAAAAAGTGTCGCGACAGCATATGTCTAACTATTATAGTTATGAAGCAATAAGTGTCCTTTTGTTTAAAAAATAAAACAACGTCAAATATCGTTGAGATTTTTGTTAAAGACACGAGCGGAGCCGGAGCGGTTCGCTAGTGTACTATATAAAGGCTTTTTTTCATTCCATATTCGAATGAAAAATCTCAGTTATTCAGTGGGTACCGGAGCCTATCAACATCATAATGTAAGTGCCGACACCTACCTTGGAATATGAAGTCTAGGTCTTAATTCTTTAGTATAAGGGTTGCTCCACCCTTCAAACCCGAACTCATTACTGCTTCGCGTTAGAAATAGGCAGGATGGTGGGATGTAGACGTGTGGGTTCACAAACACCCTACTATCAGTAAAACCTTTGCCATGCGGAATTTTCAGAAGTGAAAAATTTTAATCATATCCCTGCATATGGCGCAATATTCACGTTTTTGAATTTGATATTATAAATAAAAAACAACAATATTATTCGTTCGTGGTCACGGAAAGTAAACATTATTCGAGCAGCCATAAGATGTAAAAAAAAAGTTCAGTCGTAAAATGTAAAAAATGTAAAAAAAAATCACAACGTAAAATGTAAAAAAAATTACAACAGTAAGTGATCGATTTGATTGTTTTGGATATCTGTTGATTTGAAAGCCAATGGATACGAACGTATATGGTCTTATACCATCTGGCATATCGCAATCCAGATGAGTTTACTCGTATCGAATTCCTACCTTTTATCTAATGTCTTTTTATTATAATCAAATTATTAGTTTAAAAAAATACGACATAACCAGTACATAGAGCGTGATTGCTTTTAATTTTTTAAAGCCACACATTATTAATAAAAGTTATCGGTTCAGTGAAATTTTCAGTAGATAACTGCGAAATTACAAAGAATTCAAATTAAAATCCCCAATGGGCTGTTCTGACAGGAATTTTCAATAGACTTCAACTGTGAAGTATTCGTTCTTAGATAGGCTATATGCAATGCTTATGCAGTGATTTTATTACACGCGAGAAAATTAGACTTAACATTCTCAACGATTCGATAAAGAGTGCAATATAAGTCAATACCAACAAATGACACATATTATTTTGATCAGCCAGCCCCTTTCGAATTTCAGGTCTACACCGGTTCACACCGGTTAAGCCGGACTTATTGATTTCAAAACGACGGTTGTTTTTTCCGCTTTGCGATATAAAAAAGGAAGGCTCCGTTCCGTTGGTACTACTGCATTGGTATATTGGTAGTGGTTTCCCCCTCAGACACGGCCCACTGAGTTTCTCGCCGGATCTTCTCAGTGGGTCGCGTTTCCGATCCGGTGGTAGATTCTGCGAAGCACGGCTCTTGCTAGGGTT